CGAACACTAATGTTTCTCCTGATCTATTCTCAGCAGATATTCAAATATCGAATAAATATAATAATATCAACAAATATCAAATCGGATATAACAAATAGTTCGAAGATTCACCAAAAGGACTGTGTAATTGTTGACTGATTCACCGGTGATAGTCGACATTTTCTTTATTTCGTTCATTCACTTTAACATAAGCGTATGTCTTGCATGGGATTTGAATTGCACTCCTTAAAAATTTTCCATTTTGTTAAAATTGTTTTTTCTTTTCTTTCTTGAACATCAGGGAATCTATACAAAATCAGACAAAAATCAGGTAATTCAGATTTTGAGACGAACATATTAAATGGTGGAAATAAAATAAAAAAATATGCGTAGAAATTTTAATTCCACATATTTTATTAATAAATAATAGTGGGAAAAATTTAAAATGTTTAGTATTTTTTCATGGTTTAATATTCACTGTAGAGTGTTTATTTTAGCTGTTAATTACTGTATAATTTGTAAATTTTAAAATAATCCTGTGGTAATAATTTACAAACGCAATCTCAGCATTTAAATCTACTTCTGAATTTTAAATATCATTCTTCAAAAGAGAAGTGAAATTGCTCTGAGAAAAATTCTTATTTTAGATTACATTGAATGTGAAAAGTTCGTTATATCTCTCTCTATATATATATCATAAAAACTTAATGGTTTAACACAGTTTTTGTTACTGACGGTACATTTTTACTGGGCGTAAAATCGCACGGTAAGATATAGTTTACCCTCATTTAATTTCACACTGTTTTGTGATTGTCATCATCATAAAATAAGTTATAAAGGTATTGATTTCCTGTATAGTATTTCTGTATCCCAAATTTAAAGGTAATATTCATTTTTCTTATTCTGCCCTGTTATTATGACACAATTGATTCTGATTGTTTTCTAAATTAAACCTAAAAGAGTTATTATAATGTAATTCTCTGATGTTACCTCATGACGCTACATTTTAAGAGTATCTTATTTCTGAATTTATGAGCCGTCTTACAATTATTTTCCTTGGTGTAAATGAGATCAATATTATAAGTTACAGTTAAATGAACTCAGATTCATGATCGATAAACTTCAATGCATAAATTATTTATCAACCTGTTATGTAAGCGAAAATAATAAATAACGGTTATGGAGTCGTGGTGGCTCAGGAGATAGAGTCTTCCAATGAGGTGAATCGAGTTCGAATCCCATCAGCGAACGAATTCTGCTTCCTGCTCGCACCGACCACAGTGCTGACGAAAAATATTCTCAGTGGTAGACGGATGATCATGGACTAGAGGCCCCTCGCCGTCAGGCTAACAGTCAGAGGTTTCCGTGGTTTTCCTCTCCATGTAACGCAAAAGAGGGTTTGTTCTATCTAAACGTCCTCCACGAAAGCAAATTTCTCCTATTAATTGATCCAGAAGTTCCCTTGTCTTCTGGATTGGGTTCAAAATTACAAGAATACGGAGTTGAACATGAGTATTTTTAAATCCAAAAATTGTTTCAGCGGTTCAACGACGGTTATGAACTCATCAAAATCGTTCTAAAAAAATTCTTTTAATTTAAAATGTTATTTAAAAAAATTTTTACTAAGTATATTTATTCACTAATAGATCTTAACAGAAAGGAAAGGTTTGGAGGTGGAAGCACTAGTGTAAATAAACATAATTTGTATTCAATGTATTTTAAATGTGAATAGTTTCGTGGAAAAAAAAACTGTTTTATATCCTGAAACAACAATCATCGGAGCGTATTTATAAATGCTTTTTATCAAAAATATATGAATTAGTATTAAAACTGATGAAAAATAAAAACGAAATGTGACACATCACGTTCTGATACAATAACAACTCTGAATAAACCTGTTTTAGACATCCAATTTTCTATACTAAGATTTTTCAGATGTCGTTTCTCCCAGCTTAATTTGCGATCCCTCATGTGTTCATTTCTGATAATAAGTATTAAAGGCGTTCTTTAGGGAACACCCGGTAAAAGGAGCATTTTTCTAGAATTTGTGTCGCTTGATTTAATTCAATTTATTTTTCTTTCAATGAGTTTGCTTTAAAAAATAATTATATTGTCTTTTACGTACACATTTTTAAAACAAAAAATTTATTAAATCGTAAATAGTATGACTAACCAACACAATTTACATAACTTCTGTCCCTAACCTTCCAGTCAGATATTCAAAATAAATGTTTAATACAATAAATATATTTTGATATAACTTCACATTTCGTTTAAAAAAACATGTTGCTTAATTTTCTCATCACTACTGTTAAAGATTATTAAATTATTATTAAAGAGGTAATTCAAAGGCTAAATTATTAAAAAGGCCTATTACTAAAAAGGCCTTTAATTAAAGAGGTAAATTAAAGAGGTAATTCAAAGGCTAAATTATTAAAAAGGCCTATTACTAAAAAGGCCTTTCATTAAAGAGGTAATTCAAAGGTCAAATATTTGTACTAAATGGAAATACGAATCATTTGTATGACTGACTCAAATACAAGTAAAATATCTCTGCAGGTTAAAAATTTTAAAAAAAATGCCCCTCCCGTTGCTGTTTTGAGAATACGTTGGACAATCATTTATTAATTGTTAAACTTTTCGTAAAATCTGTGCTCGCGACGGGCATCAGGAATGTTTACTGCAGACTTGAAATTCGACTTGCAGAGAGTTTTCCGGTTCGAACTTTATTTTCAAATCTCTTCTCTTTCTTTTTGCTTTCCGTTACATTTTGTTATTTTGCGGGAAAACTAAAGAACTTAATGACATTGGAAAGGCGTGTAAAAAATTGCCCAATATCTACAACAACAGAATAAAATAATATGTATTTCGATTATTAATTCGAGAATTATCAACTGTTAAGCTTCTAATTAAAAAAAAATAACACGTAAAACAATCTATAGCTTACGGAATAGTGACAACAGATTTGAAATCTGACGCTCTTTTATTTATAAACTTAGTGCAAGCTTCTTTTATTTTCAACTTGTTTGAAAGTTATTGCAATTTTTTCTATTGCTATAAAAAGAATCCTTCTTTTGCTTTTCATTGCTCTCGCTTGACTGGATATCCAAAATAACAAAAAAATGAATCAATAAAAAAAATAACATTCAAAGAAAATTTAGATTCTGTTAGATATAAATATGAATGCTTATATCGAATGAATGAAATTTTTTTTTAAAAACATAAAGACTAGAGAGTGACAAATTAACATAATGTTCTTACATAAAATTATAATGATTCCATGTTTCATAAGCAAAATGATTCTTCTCTTTTGTTGAAAAATATGGACTTTTAAGGAGGAAAAAAAACAACAATGAATGAGAATGAGCTCGAAACCTCTCAATAAATTAAAGTTTTATTCTATGGGTTTCATCCTATAGATTTTTCATCTAAATTTGCTAAAAAGTAAAAATATATATATATATACTTTCATTGTTCGTCACTATTGTTCCCCCTCCTATATTATAGTTTAATTTTAACTTTATTTCACCTACTATAATAACTTATCCAAAGACTATTTTTAAAAAAAACGTTTAATAAATTTATTAACCCTTACTATTTTTCGTCAAAATGCTGTTGCTTTTAAACATTTTATAATCCAGTATTATTTCCTGTGTGCCGTTAATAATGTATCTTAAAGATAAATTGTCTTAAAACGGCAAAATAAGTTAAATTTAATTTCTGTTTTTTTCTTCTAAATTACTTTCTGTCCCTTTGTAGTCATTAAAGGTCTCTTTTATCCTAAAATAATGAAAAATTAAAAACTTTTTTTATTTATAGAACACAAAAATTTAGATTTTTGAAAACAACTCCGTGTTTTGCTCATTGAGGAATTAGGAATAAATTTAGTTAATAAAGTCAATTTTTTGGAGAGAAAAAAAATAAAACTCTAAAAATTGTAACAAAATATGGATTTTTTTTCAGAATGCGTTCGAAAATTTAGTTATTCTCTTTTACAGTTATTCTAGCCAATCAAAATTTAATTATTTTTGCAGAAATATCATACACGCTATTAGATATATGTTTTCTCTAACTGCCGGTCGGATGTTGCGCTGGACAAGTGACCCTACAACCCTATTTAGGGTTCTACCCTGTTTTAGTTTTCTCGTGTCTTACATCGGATCATATTTTGGCCGCATTTTGTTTTATTTGCTATGTTAGCTTTTTTTATTGCAAAAAGACATGTGTCCCTTCAATTGTTTTTACCAGTGTCTATATAAAGTATAAGTTCATATATTTCCGAACTGGTTTGTATTTTAACTGATAATGGTATCCAAAAAATGCACCTCGTAAATGATGATGTCTCTGAAGAACCACCCAGATATCTGGATTTTAAGCGTGAATACTTTGACTTGACTCATCAAAAGCACTTTAACGGGTATTTAATTGATTAATTGAGCAACCACGTTATTCTGTTGTTATGTAGATCTGCTTTGGAATCAATTGGATCATAGGTCAACTTTTATGATTATTATATGTCCTTTTCCTCTTTTCACGTGCAAGACAGCATGCACAGTCTGTTGAAAAAACATCATTAAGTGCCATAAAATTTAGTTCTGTCCAAAGTGCATAATAAAAAGTGTTTATGCGTGCAAAATATATTGATATATTCGTTGTTCATAATTGAAAAGTTTAGCTATATACAGTATCTACCAATAAGTATTTGTATATGTGTGATTGAAAAGAAAAACAAGCTTTATTCACAATCAATAGTTGGTAGAGCCTCCGCGAGAGGTAATTACAACGTGAACCCTCCGGGGCATATTTTCAACAAGTCCTTGCTTGACGGCTATTCTCTTCCACTCGGCTTAGAGAAGACATGTAAGTTCCTTCACAGATTTTGGACGGGCAGTACACCCCTTAATTCAGCTATCCAACTCATCCGAGAGGTTCTCGATAGGGTTAAGATCTGGGCTCTGGGCAGGACAGTCCATTCGATTAACCCCATTGGCACCATACCAAGCCTTGGTGACCCTCGCAACATGACAGCTGGCATTGTCGTCCTGGAAGTAACAAGGGTCCACCCCGTAAAACTGACACAACGTAGGAAGCACATTGTCATCCAAAATAGTGCGGCAGTAGGCATCGGCGTTGAGCTTACCATGAATGGGGACCAAGGGTCCCAATCCATACCAGGAGAAACACCCCCAGACTATAATTCTACCTCCGCCGAACAGTAGGCATTTGCATAGGTGTCAAAATACTTATTGGTAGATAGCGTATAATATATGCACTAGGAAAAAAAACACAAATATTTCGTGTAGTAAAATTTAGTTCGATTCAAAAGAACTGTATATGCTTGTAAAAAAATCTTCGCTTTTTATTTTTGAGGAATTTTTATACACACAGCATGCACACTCATAAAAAAACACAATTAAATTATACTTCCAGTAGAAATAAGTTCTAATGATAATTCTGTTCATACGTGTAAAATATTGATAATTTCGTTATTTATTATTAAAGTTTAGATGTTAGATAGAATAGCTTTAAACACAAGAACTTGATTGAAAAGGTATTACTCAATTATTATCGTAACGATTACTAAACAGTGTTTTGAAAGAATCAAACAAAAACAAAAATTGCACACCTGTTTGTGTAGGAATTTATTTCCAACTAAATTTTCTGTTAAAATCTCAGATAATAATCAAAAAGATGTTTCGTATGAGTACTGTTATGAAAACAGAATGAAATCAAAAAGTTTTTTCTTCCTCTTAACTACCAAGAGCTATTGCGAGGCAGAAAATATTCGAAAACGTAGCACTCGAGTGTTACTTTTTTTTAATGAACAGTAAGTTCATACCTAATGTTATAAATATTAGGTATATAGAGCAAAGTAGTAAAAACACCTAGAAAATACACTAATTTGAAATTTTGTTAACGTTATATGTATTATGTGTTTGTACTTCTATTTACGAACAGGAAAGTTATCATCTCAGCAAAGAAAAGACTAACATCAACAAAATCCAGTTCATGTGGAGATAAAAGTACATCAGTCAGCTTAAGGCCCCGAAAACTGGTCCCCGAAGCCGCCAAGATATCTTCTTTTTTTTTTTTTGGTCCAACATTATTCCATATAATCCTTCTTTTCAACTAAAATTTTCGCTTATCCCCTTTCAATAACTTTTTTTCTTTTTTAAGTGTTCAGCAACTATTTACCCGAATTCTTATGATAATATTAAAGTAGAATAAATTTTCAATTAAAAAAAATAGAATTTTTAAAAATATATATATTGATATATATGTACGCTTGTAAAAGATTTTTAAATGCCTTTAAGGGAACACTAGATGTTCAGAATGAGACAAATACTTCAAAAATCCATTATTTAGATTTTGAGATATCAAAATATTTAACACTTAACCGATTAATATGATACAACAAAAGAAATACTTTGTTAATATTGCCAGCGAAAGAAGAAATATTCTCTTATTCATTTTTAAACTTTCGTGCTATTTTTCAATGTTCGCACAAGTGAGATTTAATTATGTTTTGTTGTCACTTTTTTTTTACCTTAAAGAATCAAAGTGTATACTACATTTAAGTATTTTTGTAAATAATATATTCAGTGACCCAGTAATATTATCAAATGTTGTTGACTTAATTTTTAAAAATCAACACTAAAGAAATGATAGCTCAAGGTGTGTGGAAAATGGAGTTGCGCCTCTAAGGGCCCCCACTTTACTTAAGAAGTAAGTGTCAGAATAAAATATTAAAGATCTATATTTCAATTACATTATTTGTTTTCATACTTCTCAGTTTGATACCATTACTTACTAAATGTTAATTCAGTATGCATTTTATAAAATAAGTAGGGATACTCACCAAGTCATTCTCATTATACTTAAATTAAACTTAAGTTTTTGGGAAATTGGTAAAATCTCTCAATACGCTTTATTCATAAATTTCACGCAATATTAACGGAATGATATTACCATTGAGATGGTTGGTAAAGAAGCTTCGGTATAAGAACAGAATGTATTTTACCCTTCGGTAAAATTGCTTTCTTATATTTCATGTGCTAAATTTACCATTTAAATTTTGGTCAGAAAGTTTATGATATTTTTCGAATAAATGGTGACGGCTATCTTATTATTTGGACTTTGATAAAAAGCTTCCGTATAGTGTACGCAATATTGACAAAATAAATTTACCGTTTTATTTCGGTAAGAATATTTTTATATATTACGTAATATTGACGAAGTGAATTTGACGAAGTGACGAAATGTTTCTGTGTATTTTACGTATTATGGATGAAGCAAACTTACCATTAAAATAATATGTAAACATAACATACTCAATCTTACCTAGCATAAAAGGGTTTATAAAATATTTGTAGAATGAACAACTCATACTTTATACGTGAATTTTGCATTTTTTGCTATAATACGAATATTAGTAATTTTACGATTACTAGTAAAATTAAAAGGTGAAATATACATATTTTTGACGTAAAATGGATGGTTCTCTGCTACGCGGGTTTTATCTTCAGAATGCGCTTCACAAAAAAATTTATAATAATAATAATGAACTACTTTATTTAGCAACAACGTATAGGAGGACAATGAGTCAATAAAATGACTGGCGAAGAATGCCAAGTTGGCGAGATTAAAAAGAATTCCTCAACTTATGAAAAACTGTGGAATCCTTCATGAGACGGAGATCGATAGACGGGACATGTACTCTGAATAAGCGCTATTGGCTGTTTTTTAAAGAAACTTGGAATCATTCTTCATAATAGAACGATCATACTCTTGTTCCGGTGGGATTAAGAGGGTTACGCACGAATCGCGATCATGAAATATCTATTGATTATCGTTTTTTAAGAAAGATATTTTTTTTTTCAAAAATTCCTTTCGAAAATCTATTTTTTAAAAAAATTAACGTTTTGAAGTGATAAAAAAATGAATGAAGAATGTTATAGGACTTAAAATCAAATTGTATTTTAAAGGAAGAAGTAAAGAAAATTTTTGGAATACCGTACTTTTCGGAAATGTCTTCAAAATTCTAAGTTCAAAACTTTTGTCTATAAATTAAAAATTTTGCTCAATCAAAATTTTGTACTTTACATAAGAGATAATGTTGATATATGAACTTAAAAAATATTATATATAGATATGAACTTGAAATATATATATATATATATACACAAAATGAAGATGAAACAAAAGAAAATTACAGACATATGAANAATTATTAATTTGTCAGGGTAGATTGAAATGTTTTTTTTTTCGAAATTTTAAATTGAAGATTTAATGTGTCTACTAGATTGATTTAATATGTCTATTGAAGATTTAATAAGATATCTAATGTTGCTGCTAGTAAGAACTTTTTTTTCTCAATCGTACAATTTTGCAGTAAATATATATATATGTATGTATATATATATATGTTTTTATATGTATATGTATATATATGTATATATATATGTATATATATGTATATATATACAATATATATATATATACATATATAGTGTACAATAATTTTTGTCATTCCATCTTTAGCTAACACGAATAAACTAGATGGTTTGCCAACTCGAGAGCATGCCACGTATAATTGTCCGTGTGAAAAACATGGTGTGGAAGTAATATACTTTCACCACAGAATTTGTCATTTAAAATAATGACTTCGATAACGTTGTTCATTAATTTTTTAACGACTAATTGCGTGCCGTTGAACTGTCGTGGTGGGTTCAAATTACGAAGCAAAGTAACCGGAGATCCAACTTTGAGTACTAAATTATGCGGTGGTATGCCTGGTAAATCCAATGAGTTTAAAAACTCTGTTGGAAAATTTGCAGCTTCAATGGGATCGCAAACTGCATCAACGGATTTATATGTCACCTAGTTACCTGGCAATAACTGTTGTATCTTCAGATTCAATTCGTTGACGTCCACATTTTTTGCTGCTAAAATCTCCCTTTATGCCAGCCACTCATGATGAATATATTGTGTGTGTACATCGGGAAATATTAGGTTAATGAGAGGTCTTGTGAATCAATGATTGTGCAGAAATCGTCCGGTAATCTTATGCATCCAGTCTCATCCTTAGTAACTTTTCCATCACCGATATCTAACAGTTGTTTTAAGAATGTTTCAGCAGATGGATCTTGATGCATTTGGACGCGCATATTTACTTTTTGTTGAACTTTTTCAACATTACACCACAGTGGAGATGATTTCAAGCAAGCATTGATCTCATCAGCGTACTTTGAATGCGGAATGACGGGAAGTGTTTATCTGAAATCACCTGAAAGGAGTAACAGAGTGCCCGATGATAATTTTCATTCATCCCAGATGATAATTTTACAGTGTTTCAACACTGTGGCCATAGACGGTTGCTTTTTTATGTTGCACACTGCATCTGGCTTGTTTTGAATATTTAGTGTCAGCTTAAATAGTGAATGAGCTGTTCTGACTCCATCCAATAAAGTTGTCGCAATGCCAGATGATGCAACGGCCAACGCGATGCTATTATTTGATCGTATTTCAGCGAGAATTAGCGAAATACTAAATGTTTTGCCAGTTGCACCTGGTGCATCCAAAAAAAAATCCACCTTGTCCTGCCGAAACTGCGAGCATAATGCGGTCATAAGTGTTCCTTTGTTCCTCATTCATTATTGGAACATTGCGAGTAACAATCGCTGCCATTTCTATCTTATTGTATTGAAGTTCACGATTCATGTCAGTGTTTAATAAATCAAATGCACTTCGATTTGGCGAAGGCATACCGAAGTGACTGAGAGGCAAGTTGGCGATAATAATGCAAAGATCCTCAATAGCAATCAGTGCTTCATTGTACATAGCACCGCTGAATGCTACCGTTAGATCGTTGCAACGTGTGTGATGTTGATACCATATATCATCAGTCATCGAATCTTTGTGATTGTCCCATAACGTTTCTATACGAACCGGGAAACATGTAGTTAATACTATAGCGAATAATGGACGAATTTGCTTTGCAGTACAGTTCAATGCTGCTTCAGAAAGCATACATTCCCACTGGTTGTCGTCTCCCAGCAGCCTGAGTGCAAGGCATGCATCTTTATACGTTGGATGCTGATGTTCATCGACTTTACGTATATCTTGAAATGACAATGAGCCGGTGACATTAACCAACAACAGTCGAAAATAAAAGCACTCAATCTGCCATGGATTGACTTTAAATATTCTCCCTCAAGGCGTTTGATTTGAGTAAACCGGGACATGCATCAACCGGTGTGCCTTGCTTGCGGGGTGTCCAATTTTTTGTTTGAGCTCATGTGAAATAATGTGGTGCTTCTGAGTAGAGTAATGTCCATGCAAAGGCACCAAAAGCATCCGCACGATTACACAATTCAAAAAATTCGGTGAGTGTAGTTTTTGGTGGATTTATAGCTCGGTCAATCGCTGTCTCGTTCGTGAAATATACTCGCTGACCGTTTTCAAGATGGAGGGCTAAATGAATAACGGTTGGATCCCGTTCATGAAATGGGAACCCAAAGACACCACAAACAGCTCCATTGGAGCTGATGTACCGGCCATTTTGGTACAGCTTTATTTCATCGTTGTTATTCACTGGAAGAGCAGTCACATTGGTATTTTCAACTCGATGTACTGCTATATCATTGCCTTTATTCACATACTTGCAAATATATTTGATGCTCTTCTTTTAAGGGCAAGCATAAGTATTAGAGTTTAATATGACTTGTTGCAACGTGCGTGAATATTGCTTTTGAATTATTATATTTCTATGTCTAGTTTGAATCCGAATACGATTAAATAAAGATATATTTAAAATATACGTTAAATTTGTACAAAAAATGAAAAAAAATAGTTATAAACCTCTTCTCAGACCTACTGAAGAAACATATAAATTTTCATCAAATTCGGTCAAGCCGTTACGGAGGAGTTTAAACACTAAAACTGCGACAAGAGATTTTTATATATATAGATATATATAGAGAGAGGGGTGGGGGAGGGTAAATAGGTAGATAGAAAGTCTGATACGAATATTTCTATATTAAATCGTAGCTTAAAATAGATTTCTCTTTTAATTCTTCAAAGAGAGAGGGGGCGGAGGGTAAATAGGTAGATAGAATGTCTGATACGAATATTTCTATATTAAATCATAGCTTAAAATAGATTTCTCTTTTAATTCTTTAAAGAGAGAGGGGGCGGAGGGTAAATAGGTAGATAGAATGTCTGATACGAATATTTCTATATTAAATCGTAGCTTAAAATAGATTTCTCTTTTAATTCTTAAAAGAGAGAGGGGGCGGAGGGTAAATAGGTAGATAGAATGTCTGATACGAATATTTCTATATTAAGTCATAGCTTAAAATAGATTTCTCTTTTAATTCTTTAAAGAGAGAGGGGGCGGAGGGTAAATAGGTAGATAGAATGTCTGATACGAATATTTCTATATTAAATCATAGCTTAAAATAGATTTCTCTTTTAATTCTTAAAAGAGAGAGGGGGCGGAGGGTAAATAGGTAGATAGAATGTCTGATACGAATATTTCTATATTAAGTCATAGCTTAAAATAGATTTCTCTTTTAATTCTTTAAAGAGAGAGGGGGCGGAGGGTAAATAGGTAGATAGAATGTCTGATACGAATATTTCTATATTAAATCATAGCTTAAAATAGATTTCTCTTTTAATTCTTAAAAGAGAGAGGGGGCGGAGGGTAAATAGGTAGATAGAATGTCTGATACGAATATTTCTATATTAAGTCATAGCTTAAAATAGATTTCTCTTTTAATTCTTTAAAGAGAGAGGGGGCGGAGGGTAAATAGGTAGATAGAATGTCTGATACGAATATTTCTATATTAAATCATAGCTTAAAATAGATTTCTCTTTTAATTCTTAAAAGAGAGAGGGGGCGGAGGGTAAATAGGTAGATAGAATGTCTGATACGAATATTTCTATATTAAGTCATAGCTTAAAATAGATTTCTCTTTTAATTCTTTAAAGAGAGAGGGGGCGGAGGGTAAATAGGTAGATAGAATGTCTGATACGAATATTTCTATATTAAATCATAGCTTAAAATAGATTTCTCTTTTAATTCTTAAAAGAGAGAGGGGGCGGAGGGTAAATAGGTAGATAGAATGTCTGATACGAATATTTCTATATTAAGTCATAGCTTAAAATAGATTTCTCTTTTAATTCTTTAAAGAGAGAGGGGGCGGAGGGTAAATAGGTAGATAGAATGTCTGATACGAATATTTCTATATTAAGTCATAGCTTAAAATAGATTTCTCTTTTAATTCTTTAAAGAGAGAGGGGGCGGAGGGTAAATAGGTAGATAGAATGTCTGATACGAATATTTCTATATTAAGTCATAGCTTAAAATAGATTTCTCTTTTAATTCTTTAAAGAGAGAGGGGGGAGGGTAAATAGGTAGATAGAATGTTTGATACGAATATTTCTATATTAAATCATAGCTTAAAATATATTTCTCTTTTAAATCTTCAAAGAGAGAGGGGGGAGGGTAAATAGGTAGATAGAATGTCTGATACGAATATTTCTATATTAAGTCATAGCTTAAAATAGATTTCTCTTTTAATTCTTCAAAGAGAGAGGGGGCGGAGGGAAAATAGGTAGATAGAATGCCTGATACGAATATTTCTGTATTAAATCATAGCTTAAAATAGATTTCTCTTTTAATTCTTCAAAGAGAGAAATAAATATTCAACATTAGGAAAATACCGAAAGTTTCTTATAATCTTTAGGGCGTCATGTTTCTAACTAATCACCATTTCTTGTTGATTTTTAATCACCATTCTTTACAATTTAAAACTCATTTTCTGAAGTTTATGTGGAATAATTATTGGAAATATACTCATTGAGAAATTTCACAAAAGTTTCTAAGCGTTTATAGCATTCTCCATCTCTTAAATCAAATCAAGATGCTTCAATTTTTCTTTTTGAATGACGTAAAAAGAAAGTCTTGAGCCCAATTCCCTTTCAGAATCTCTAGTCTTGTCGTACAGCGGCTCTGTTGGTTAAGCCCTATTTCCTATAGGGGAACCTTTTTAGTAAATAATTTGCAGATGGTGAGTAAAAATTAAGTATCACGAGTAGCGTTTGCTATTACAAAAAAGAAAATTTTATTCTTTTTTTATACTTTTTTTCACTGTTTTAAGTGAAATATAAATGAAAAGAGATATTATTTGAAAGAAGTTCAATTGGGAGATATTTTTATTTATTTCTTATATCAATACTGAAACGCGAAAAACAAAGATCCTTTCCTACTTCTATTTTAGCCCATTATTTTTATAAAGCAATACGTGAGCGACCACCGTCTAAATTATCCTCTTCCTAACAAAAAAAAAGGTGTTCTGCTGCTTAAAAACTTAGCTGGGTACTTCAAAAAAATGCCTATCTATCTCCCCCCTTTTTTTTATTTCTTGGCAGCTTGCTATTAAAATGAACATTCACTGTCTTCAATTGCACTTCCTATCATTTTCTTCTCGGATCTTTCAAAACCCTTTTAAGATCTGGAAATGTATTGTTAATTTGTTTGAGTTTTAATGCTAGATGAAATAGTATGAGTTTAATCGCTATTTTAACATTTAGTCATGTGTATTCCAATAGGGCGAAA